CTCTGTCACTGTGGTAACAGGCTCTGTGAAGTTAACCTGCTCTGTCACCATGGTAACAGGCTTTATGAAGTTAACCTGCTCGCTGGCAGGTTTACAGAATGAAAGCCTGAAGCTGTCCCACTTGAGGTGATCGTGTTTAACCAATCTGACTGATGTCGAAACTAAACTCCTTCAGTGGTGGAGGATTTTCTGACCTAGACTGGATTTGCTTTCGTTCCCAGATAGTTCGCTAAGATCTAATTTGCAGAAATTAGTTTGTTGAAAACATGTCTACAATCAGCACAGGCAGATATTTCACATTTTATTTTATCTCATTTATTCCTCACAAGCTCACATATGCAGCAGTTTGAATTCTAAATATTTTATCAAAGAATGAACCTTTATTTTGCGTAAATTCACCCACCTTGACTAAATTTCTAAATCCAATTTCTTGCTTTATGATTTATTTACAAAATAAAGATAGAACAAATTGTTTATCGAACCTGTTGTCACCAGACACAATTTTTTGTTTAGGTAATTTCTATAACCAAAACAATTTACTTTAATATCAGTTATTTTTAATAGTTTAACATTTGTTTTGAGAAATCTAATTTTATTGACACATCTTCCGTTGTTTTTTCCAGATTATTTTGACTAAGCTTTTTCCAAGGAGTGCGGCCCAATCAGTTCTTTGTTTGACTCCTAAAATAAAAGCTAATAAATCAAAATCATAAAAAGAGTGCACATGAATAGACTAATAGCTGACAACCATCACGTGTGTCTGTTTCAGCTGCACTTCATTCTTAATGGTTTTGGTATTCAGAAATGACCCAATTCTGTTTTTTTACCATAGTATTGCAAAGTTTGAACTACAAAAATACATTTTGAGTACGTCACATTCAGGTTCTACATCCTAAATATATTTATTCACTTGATGATTTACATGATGGTGATGACAATGAAGTTCATCTCAAGTTTCTCTAATATTGTGCATCCATAGTTGCCATGGTGAATTAAAACATCAGAGCTCCACTGATTATGGTGTTTATCGCACATTTTCACGCTCTTACCTTAAAGTTAAGATAGTTATTTAACCTTAATATAATCAGCCTTTCTGGAGCCAAAAACTACTTTTCTCCTTCACGGTAAGTTAACTCAGAGTTTATGGATGAACTCAGAGTTTGTTGAACCTCCTTTCTGGAATACCCCACTTTGCTTTGCTTTTTGACGCTCGTGTTTTTGGCGGTTGCCGCTTCGTTTATTTTAAGAGCTAAAGGGCTGCAGGTCGGTTGGCAACAGCTGCTTGATTTTGCGTTGCACCGCCTGAGCCAAACGCTGCTTTGTGGTTGGACAAGAGAACGCTGGTGGTGGCTGCTTGTTTTACTGGCTGCTTTATTAAAGAAACGCCGAGCTCTCGTCCAAGAGTGCAAATTGCAAAGATAAATGGAGACTTTATAGTAGTCACAGACACCATCGCTACTGTTCATAGTTAAACACCTTATTTTTAAAAACCCTTTTAATTATTATATGAGAGAAATCTGACAGACACATTGCTGTTTCTAGTTATTATTGACAAGATAAACAAGCGTGATTTATACCTTAACATTAATAAGTTGTAAATAGCAGAAAATTAGGCTAATACTTCAGAATAGTGTGTTTTTAAACCTGCAGGAGTTCGTTTAGCTTCAGTTTTTGGGAGACAATGTACTTCGAGCTGCAGCCTCTGAATTAAACCAAGAAAAAAACTTGTTCACAGTTATTAAATTATATGAAATGATAAAACTGAAATACATTTTAATGTCTAACACACAAGTTGTCATAGTAACTGTAAAGGGCTGTTTACACCAAGAACAATAACTTTAATGGGCCTCATTTACGTATAAATTACTGTTTAAATCAGTTGGATATTATTGATATTATGGCTCTTGAATAAGACACATCTACATTTTTTATAATCAGTATTATTGTGTCAGCTAATTGTTTCTGTTTATCTATTTTTTAACAAGCTAATTGTTTTGGAAACAGTTTCTTTTTCTTAAATAATTTGCTTATTATAATATAATAACACTTGTAAAAAAAAAATTAAGGCAAGGTTAAATCTTGCCCACAATTACATAACAAAAACACCAGATTTTGACATATACTATACTTTCTGCTGTTTAAGTTGCATCAGCCCAAGCACGTCCAATAAAGTGGAAAAAAATGTAAATAAGTCTCAGGGCATTCAAATTTATGCAAAATGATGCGACCTATACGCTGGAAAATACGGTAATAATCAACATCCTTTGCTACTCCTAATGTTGTTCTGTGTTGTTGTTTTTGTTGTCAACAGCCTTTAGGTTTTACACATCCCCATTTTTTTCCCAAATCATCAGAAGATTTTATAATGCTGAGTTTGCAGCTCTTAAACCTATTACCATTGTCTCATAACCCCACATAATAACAATTAAATCTAACTCTAGTTTTAATTATATATTCTGGTAAGTCATATTCTACAATACCATAATATTACTGTCTGATATATTTATTGTTAGGGCTTTAACTGATAATGGCTAGTTCTTTTGCTATCTCAGTATATATTTGTTAACAACGTGTTAAAAAAAAGTTTATATTGTCTCATCATATCATATGTAATTATTTTAGATGACTAAGTTGCACTTTATTTACAGTAGGCAAAAATACAAGATCATACAGTACAATAAAACTTGTATTTAACTTCAAAAGTAAAATTGACTGTATAAAACTTCTTCAGGCCATGAAATGATTTATTAACGTGCTTATCCACTTCTACTACAATAAAATTAGACTTAAATAATAATAATAATAAAAACACTTTTCACAAGAAACATTTGAACCCAAAAGGCATAATTAGTAATTAGTGAGGGCCTAATTTTCACGTCTTTGTTGCCAGCTTTTTTAACCTTGCTCTGTATTTGACCTCTGACCTCTTAACCCAGACTGCTGGGACAGTGATGACTCCCCTCCCCCACTCCCTGAGAGAACCCTCGAGTCCTTCATACTGGCCACAGGTGCGTTTGCATTGGTCGACATCTTCAGGTGTGTGTCCAGTGGTGTGGATTCACTGGTCCTCGTCTACAAAGATGGGCGGAGCTGTGAAGACTAACTTAAAGGGATAACCAAGATGTGTGTCACTAAGACCCTGTTCAGACCTTGCTTCAAAGATCTGTCCTGGGTCAGCTCTGATTGAGAGCGTTCACACCTGGCAGTAAACGTGTACCTCAAAACGTTTTTGTGATTGGATGTTCGTTACAAATCAGTCTGACAACAGGTCTGCTGATGTGTCTGTAAAAATGATAATACATTCAGACATCTGGACTATATTGTTTATGGATGCACGATATTATCGGCATGGTATCGGCCGATATTAGTGATAAAGTTAAATATCGGACATCGGCCATTCCATCAAAATAACTCAACGATATAAAAGGTGCTGTTTTAAGTTGATTTTTAATTTAAGAAACTGTCAAGTATATCTATTAATGCACTAATACTTGTGCGTTTTTCACTTGTCGCTTGTGAACAGGTTGAGATTTGTGAAAATTAACAGATTTGCACAGTTTGAATGTTATTGAGTTAGAGAAAGTAAATGCCACAAATAAATTTGACATTAAATATAATCCAAGTTGAAGTGTTACATCATTTTCAGCCCCCTTTTTGGCATCTGCATTTGGTAGCAGGACAAATTGACAAAGACCTTGCAGAATAATGTACCGGTAGTATTTTAAGTCCACAGCAGAGAAAGATTTGTAGTCTCTGGGCCCTGGGGGAAAATATCGGTATTGGTATCGGTTATCAGCCAAATAAATTTTAATATATTGGCATATCGGATATTGTCCAAAAATCCAATATCGTTCATTCCTAATATTATTAATTTGGCATAACGGTTCATAGCCATTTGAGTTGTGTTTTTTGTAGTTATCGCTTGAAAAGCTTAATTACGTAACAGCCATAATAGGAGAAATGTAAAATAGCATACAATGATCGGTGACTTCATAGAGCTCGGTGTCACAGCAAAGAATTTTAGCTCATAAATCTCCAAAGTGTGCTGCCGGAGGTGTTTTCTGCCATTTACCGTGAACAGAACATCAGTGTTAATTAGGTGAATATAACGTGACAATTCTGCTTAAACTGTGATGTGCACTGAACAATATAGTTTACGGTTACCACAGAGGATCCAGCTAAAAAAAAACAAACAATCGGAGCCAACTTTAAACTGAAGGGAAACTCACCCATACAATGTCCAGTAATCCACTTTGATTAATAAAATCTAAACAATATGGACATTTTTTTTAATGAAAATGATTCTGATTAAGGTTTACCCAACCCTCCTCCCAATAGAAACCAAGTTTCTTCGAAATATTCCCAAAGATGGCAGTTTTCATTATCTTCAGCCTGCAGCTGTGTGCACTTTTTGTTTTTTTACACCGAGGTCCTACAGCTTGACTCCGTACGGATTATGTTCAAACTTCTAAATGCAGACAAATAAAAGAGGTCTAGTTCACCCATGCAGGTGGTTTGAGTGGAAACATTTTATTAACACCTGTATTTATTGAAATCCAAATGCAGCCCATTAGCTTAAGCTTTTTTTACGTCATTAAAATCAGACAGTGGTGGATGATTGAAAGAGCTGGTTTAATCTCATAAATTATGGTAAAAATGTACATGAGATATTTTTTTTTAAACTGCTTTGGTGTATGCTGTTCAAGTTTTGCAACACTAGAGGGCAGCATTGACCATTTCAGCCATTCAATACAAGCTTGTATGAAGATCACCTGTGAACGGTGGATTTATTCTGGAGTTACTTAGAAATTACTTAAAAGACAGTAAATATGTAGGAGTGAGTAAGGATAGTAAGTTTTAAATGATGAGGCACTTATGAGAACAAAATTGGAACTTTTTCTTTTTTTTGTTGGTTGGTTTAAATGAGTTTAAAACGACGTGTGTGAGTGGGTGAGAATGAATGCATCTCTATTTCTGATTAAACCTTGTGTCCTCGTCACATTTACTACCCTTTGGACATCTGTATGACATAAAGGTACACACAAAATATGCTATATCATATACATCAATAGTTTTTCTGCTTTTTTTTCTTTGTAAATCCAAACGTCCAGCCTGCTGAAAACTACCAGTCGTTCTCAGGATTTTAACCCTTTGAATTTTCACTTATTTGAATTATTATTATTTATTAAAAATACACAAAAAGTTGATCATCTTTCCATATGATAAAGAAGGATGGTGGTAATTAGAGTTGTGGACACATCAAAGATTAGCAACAAAATAGATTTGATTGTGTCCGGTTTTTTTTATCTAGTGCTTGTTCCTCCCGCTGAATACTTTTGTGAAAGTAAATGTCTCTTTGACTTCCATTTAAACCTCATTTTTTAGTCTTGCTGCCAACATCTTATATAAAAAATAATGTATTTGGTAATCTCAGTGTTTTTATTTTGACGAAAGGCAGTAATATTTTACATTTTACTGTATTCTTCTAGATATAACAGTTTTCCCATTGTAGGCCGCTTGAATAACGCACTGCATTTTTGACATTCATAATATGGAGCCGGGGACCCCCCAATTTTTTATTTTTTTTTATTTTAGAGCTGAAGAGGTGCTTGAGTAAGCGATTAAGGGATTCAAGCCAAAAATAAAAACGACAAGAAAAAATATTGACGTATGATGATTTTTATAACTGTGCATTTGTGCCGTAAAGGTGTCTGGAGGGTTCAACAGGCATCAGCAGAGTGTAAAAGACGTGGATGTAAAAAAAAAAACCTTTGGATTTATAAATATTTCCTTTCAAATAACTCATGCCACAAACTGTGACGCAGCCATAAAGATCACCAAATAAAACCATACAAAACGCCTGATGTTTATATGTCTCTATTTGTAAGTTGTCTTTGTCTGCTTCTCTCAGACCCTCTGGAAGTGAAGATGTCAGCATCAAGTGGATGGATAAACTCCCAAAAAGGTAGCAACGTTCAGTCGGTCTTATTTCTCTCCTTCCTTTGTTTGTTTTGGCTCTCTGTTTCTATTGCACCCCCCCACAAATGCACATGTGTGTTTATCTGTCCCACTCACAATAAGAGTGACGGCAGCAGCCAGAGGCGGCTGCAGGAGTGAGTAAAGATGAATAAAGAAAGCGAACAAGAGTGTCTTTAGAGGCGTGCGTTAAGAGGAGTGCTGTGAGGATTGTGTAATGATTGTTGGTACCAATTTACTGCTTCAGTAGTTGTAGGGTCTGGAAGCTTCATCGACAAGGAATAATTCTGTGTTTTTAATTAGGAGACTGTGGTTTTATTGAGATTACTGCCAAAAGCCAGACTTTAAATCTGTACATTTCAGAAAAATCAAACATTAATGTGATAGATGTGCTCGGTCAGCTGTCGTTTGAATTATAAAACCGGATATTAAAAAAAAACATTCACACTATTGTGATCCGTTTTTCTTCTGTACGATTTTCAGCTGTTTTCATGCTCCTTTCAGATTCTTTCTGCCAACTACAACATTTTTGTACTTCTTCTAACTTCTAATTTCAGCTTGTTATGCTCCTTTACGCTTATTTCTGCAAGTTTCTGCTTTTTCCACCATTTCAGCTACTATTTTAGCTGTTTTATGGTAATTTAAGCGTTTTAAGCTAATTCTACATTTTTTTGCTCATTTTAATTTTTTTCAGACTAATTCAGCAAAAATGTTCTCTCTACCTCGTTCCTGTAATTTCAGCTTTTTTCTGCCTTTTAGCTACTTTCAGCTGTTTTTTTGGGGGGTTTTTTGTAATTTCAGCTTTTTTCAGATATAGCTAATTTACACTTTTTGTGCTCATTTCTTCTTTTTTCCAGCAAATGTATTATTTCTGCTTTCTTCTCCTAATTTAATCTTGTTCTAGCTTTTCAGCTACTTGTTTTGCATTCTTAGCTAATTTCAGCAGTTTTCATATAAATTCTAAGTTTTTCATGGTAATTTCTGCTACTTTCAGCCTAATTAACTTATTTCAGCTTTACGCTCCTTTCAGCAATTTCTCGCTAGTTTCAGCTTTTTCAGCTACTTTTTAGCTGTTTTTGTGCTAAATGTAACTTTTTCAGCTAATTCCACATTTTTTATAGCTCATTTCATATCCTTCCGCTTCCTTCTGGTAGTTTAAGTTTCGTTCTAACTTGTCAGCTACTTTGCAGCAATTTTTTTTGCCTATTTCAGTTTTTTTAACCACCCGTAATTTCTTAATTTTTGCTCTAATTTCTGCTTATTTAAACCTAATTCAGCAAATAAATGTTCTTTCTATTTTCTTCTGCTAACTTTGCCTTGTTCTTCCATTTCAGCTACATTTTTCAGCTTTTTTTTTAGCTAATTTCAGCTGTTTTTCAGCAAATTTTTCAGGAATAAGCATTCAAACTGTATTTTTTTTTTACAGGAAATGCAATTTCTCTAGTTTAGAATAACTTGAGTTGTCTCTCAGTAAAACTAATGCAGTTTAAACTCATTTTCTTCATGGGAAATCATAATATTGCTTATAACACATTATGTCTGTCTGTCTGTGTTTAGACGTGTTGGATTGTAATAAGACATCTCCAGCTGATCCTGGGTCTGCTGGCAGTAAAGCAGCAGATAGCCAAGCAGATATGGGTGGGTAAGTCTGCCAAAGTCCTCCTCTAGATCATTGTATCGCCTGAAGGCAAGAGGTGATCATGTTTTTATTTGGTTTATTGAAACTCCGAAACCTCTACAACGACCTTTTTGGAGTCAGCCCAATTCAAGATGGCTGCCAAAACCAACTGACTTCAGGAAACAAAACTGCTTTGACTTTTTCATTTACAAGATTTGACCAAAATAGCTATAACTCCATCATTTCTCATCATAAGGTGACTAATGTAAAACTCTGGCGTGAATGGCGGTGGGCGATATGCATGCTTAAAGAAAATTATTACATTTTTTTCTTATGACTCTGTTAGTTTGCACAGGTTAAGATTAAGGGAGAAAAAAGCATTTGTGTTCTGTTTCTGCAGAAAACGTTGCTGACGGACATGTTTTCCTTTCAAGTCATCGTTTTTTTGATGCATGGAAGTGAAAAGCTATCTAGCTTTGGCTTTGAGGCCAGGCAGAATGCTTCTGTGAAAATCTGTGATGAAATATTTATTCCATTCAGTAAATAAACGCAGCTACGAGCTTCTCTCACTCTCTTTCCTTCCTTTTTTTTTTATCAGGGTTCGGTAACCGCTGCATTCAACCCCAAGGCCCGCGAGAACGTCCCTCGGAGTGGACATGATGGAGCGACGTTTCTGACTGTCCTAAAACCACGTCCCTTATCAGGATTTGGACTCCCACCTGGCTGGTCCAAAAGCCAAGTTGCTACAGAGAAACATCACATTTTTACACAGAAACTGCCTCTGTGTGCAAATATCCTGCTCATTCCTCCGTTCAAAGTGCCGCCATGCCACTGGTTGAGAGACTTGTCCACTTTACATGCAAGCTTTCCCTCTGGATGTCTCTACATGCTGACCTGGGAACAGCTGTCAATCATTAAACCAGCTTGTTAATTTAATTTTTTTTTTTTTTGAGGGGGTGGTTAATATTAAGACTAAGAACTATGTTTTCTCTTCTGCTTTTTTTTTTTACACTAAAAGCATGATGTACACTTAAACCAAATGAGAGGAAAGCGATGGAATCAGCTAAGCTGGTGTGGGAAGCAAATTTCTGAGGTTGTTTGCCGGCTCCTGCAGAATGAACATCTTTAAAGTAAACTTTGATAATCTTTTACCCATAATGCAACCTTTTCAAATAGGAGTAAAGAGGTTGCTTTGGGTGCTTTCTGTGTTTGTTGTTCTATTTTTATGCGCCAATCATTGCAAAAGATCGTAGCAGAAACGGGAGCGCTAGAGCCAGCAGTTGCCACCTGTAAAAGTACAACCAGCTCTAGTATTTTCTATTTCTCTACTCTTTTGCCAGAGTCATATGCTAACAGGATTTGGTCCTTTGTTAAATGTAATTATTCATCTAATAGCAAAGATAATCTGTAGCCTGTTTGTTCATGTTAAGGCTAAGCTAACTGGCTGCTTTGTGAGCCTCTCATAGAAAGCGCAACAGTGTGGTTTATTTTAAATCACGGAGCTAAAGCGTATGTGGTTTATCATCTTCAAAAGTAGTTTGACATAGATAGACACACAAAACAACTCTCAAACGAGTCAGTATTAAGATGCATAATTTATTTTATGGAAAGCATGTTTTATTGTGTACGACAGAGCTTTAGGGCCATGCTAAGAAAAAAAAAATGAAAGCCATAAAATTACAAGACTAAAGTTGAATAGTCGTAATATTACGAGACTAAAGTCGTACGAATCTTTTTGCAGCTCTCGTGGATTTTTTTTTCTCCCACGAGTTGGATCCATGACGCGACCTATCAATCAATCCAGTAGGCGTGTCAGCAAATGACCAATCCGAAGCTAAATGAGCCGTAATATCTGAACTCTGACACGATAAAACAGGTTTACCGCATTTTAACTGTGGTAAAATGAAGAACGTTGAGCATCTTGTTAAGTTATACTTTGGTACTGGTTTTATAAATAAGAAAATAGTTAATCCGTTAACACATCAGCATCAGATTATTATCAGTATCAGGACTTTGAACCTGCTGACAGTAAGGTGGTACGCTCCAGTTCTCTGCAGGTAACGATCATTTAGCTTCGGATTGGTCATTTGCTGACACGCCTACTGGATTGATTGACAGGTCGCGTCGTGGATCCGACTCCTGGGGGAAAAAAATTAACGAAAGCTGTAAAAAAAAAAAAAGTCTCGTACGACTTTATTCTTGTAATATTATGTTTGTTTGTTTGTTTTTTTCCTTAGCGTGGCCCTAAAACTCCCGTCATAACTGTGCAAGCATTTAGGAAGATATTTCCTGTTTTTATTGTAAACACACTGCGGGTAACTCTTATGAAGTACACCAGTAACTCCAGACTGACTACACTGGGACCATGACTGCCTTAGCCCAGCTCTCGTATAGGACAGTCCTCCCTCATTTGTCCTTTTCTTTGTGTTTCTGGCTCTTTGAGATTTAAAAAAAAAAGTATTTCACTTTCCTCCTGCTCTCGTTTTCTCAGACCTCTGAAAAGTGTATGACAATACAACCTCAGTGTTTCAGAGAATGAATGTTGCGCCTGAAACTCTTGAAACTGGGACTTGCGGAATCGATCTTTAACCTCCAGCTCTCTCTTCTGCAAGTCAAACTAGATTTCTTCAAGCTTTTTTTTTTTTTTTTACCTGCTTCTATTCTAAAAAGAGCAGCAGCTAAGCACCCAGGACTACTGTTTTCTCCTGATTGTTAGCATCACTTTTATTAGCTACAGTAACTACATAGTGTATGCATCGTTTTTATAAAGATAAAGAGCTGTAAAGAGCAGTTTAGGTATATAATATGTCAAATTTCTTTTTACTGTCTGCTAAATATTTCTATTAACAGAAGATGTAAGAAAGTCAGTGCATGATGATGGTGATGATGATGATGATGATTCCTCCCCATGGACAATGTTTTTATTAGAATTGTAAATTATTCTGCGACCCGTTTGCTTTTTTTTTTTTTTTGTCTGGCGATTATTTCAGGGGATCATTTGTTTTGTGTTGGTTTATATGCTGAATGATAAATGTTTTCGTTGGTTGGCAGAGAAAAGCACAAACTGCCAACCCCCCCCCGATGACGACGAGCTTTGAATAAGATTGTAATAATAATAATGGTGATGATGAGAATGGTCGTTCCGTTTTGTAAATGGTATTTTAAATGTTATTTTTGTTTACAGGTGTATCTAAAAATAAAGTAGAATGACACGAAAATGTTCAAAATGTTTTTTGTTAATTTTCAGAAAGTGAAATTCATATATTATATAGCTTCACTGCACATTGAATGAAATATTTCAAGTGTTTATTTCTTGTAACTTTGATGATCGTGGCTTACAAATACTGAAAAACCAAAATTCAGTGTCTGCATGCGTTTCACTTTCTGAACCAATTTACAAAAAAAATAACTGTTTCATGATGTTCTATTTTTTTTATAGCTGCACCTGTACACAGTTGGCTGTTGAGTCCACATCCGTCTGTGCCCCCCTGCCCCTTTTTTTTTTTTTTTTGGATGTGCTCTACCTTTTGTTTTTATGAAAAGCTGCAAAACTGTTTCACACTTCACTACGGTGGCCCTGAGGTGTAAATGAACAACATTTGAAAAAACAGAATTACATTAATCCCAAGCGGAAGTGGCCGGAATCACATTAGGAATAACAGAATTACATTTGAAAAAACGGAATCACATTAGAAAAACCAGAATTACATTTGAAAAAACGGAATCACATTAGAAAAACCAGAATTACATTAAGCCAAAGCAGAAGTGGCTGAAGCGGAAGTGGCACAAATCACATTAGAAAAAAATGAATTACATTTGAAAAATCGTAATTACATTAAGCCAAACAGGAAGTTTTTTTTTTTTTTTACTTTATTAATAGCATAAATCGAACAACAGAACAATATACAGTACACACACACACAACATAAATACATTTAGCAGGCTATCCTTTTAACTCTATCTCCGTTGTGTGTACTGTATATTGTTATGTTGTTTGGTTTTATGCTGTTAATGTAAAAAAAAAAAAAAAAACTTCCTGTTTGGCTTAATGTAATTGCATTTTTTCAAATGTCATTCGTTTTTTTTTTTCAAATGTGATTGTGTTTTTCAAATGTTGTTCATTTACACCTTAGGGCCACCGTACGTCACCATTCTTTGCTGTTTCAAATGAATAAACGCAACAGGTTTTTGTTTAAAAAAATTAAAACATGTCTCTGCGCCAACTGATTGCTTTACTAAAGCATCTGTGAAATGTTGGCAGTTTTAAATTCACAAAGTACACACAAATAAAAAAAAGACACTTTAGCTTTGTTATTTGGGTTTGTTCTCTTTAAATCCCTCTAAGTCGCAAACACAAAGTCTCAAAACTCAGAAAAAAAAAGCCCACCTGTGCCTTTAAGAGCAACTGCCCCTCTTTCATCTTTTCCACCATCCTCCAGTCATCATTAGTCACGAGCAGCATTCATCACCTCCTGTGGGACTCATTCAGTACCCCCCCCACCCCCCCCACCTCATTATACTTGTCCCATCTCAGAAACACACGCAATGTTTGTATGTTGCAGAAATCAATCAGTAAAAATGAACAAGTGAACATATGGCTGTTTTTTTTTTATTCTTTGTGAAGCAACAAAAGTGAAAAGATGTCAGATCAGATTTGCTTTTAATAATCATTTCTGAAGCCATGAGAAATGAAGTCTTGTAAATTAGAATAAATAAACATATCACCTTGTTAGCCATTGGTTGTTTAAGAAATATGTTTAGAGTGGGAGTTTTTGTCACAGCTGGAAGTCTACTTACATGTGAATGAACTGTCGAGATATGAAAACCACAGCAGGTGGTGAAAACACACCAGCCTTGTATTGTACTCAGACACCTTCCATTTTCTTTCACACGCATCCAGAGGCACAGCAGGTGGACCCTCACTGGTGCTCATGTGCAAACAATATTCAATTCAGATCAATTACACATGCGTAAAAATGACTGTGATTATTAGAAGTGGCGGTGGTTTTTTATCAGTGCTTTTAGATCTCAATTATACACTATAAAAGAGGTATTGATCTACACGCATGCATAGATGATAGGCTTGTAAATTAATTTGAAGCTAATTTGTTTTAGCTGATGAGTTCAGAAGCCTTTTAGTCATCTAAAAGAAAAATATATGTTGCGTTGAACCAAATGTAGTAAAAGTCTCTTGTAGAAAAATGTCACCATTCAATCCATTAGTTTTACTCACTGTGATAAATGCAGTTTTCTGTAGCACTATGCCACAATGTGAATATTCCTTTCTCTTGGGAGTATAAATGAATCCAGGTTGCTGTTTTAACTAGGTCAGTTTTCCCAATGAGCATTTTAACATGTTATGTAATCGCTTATAAATATAGCCGGTTAAAGATAAGTGTGAGCAGTAGCTGTGTGCTGCATTGCTATCTGAAGGAACTGAAATCTGTCAGATCCTATTTCAAAGCAAGCAGTATAAAATATGAAACAGTAGGTGCTGAACTTAACTCTGGGCTCAAGCACAGAGACACCAGTTTTCCCTTCTGAAAATGAAAACTGAAATGTTTTTCTGACTGTGCAGCTTTTATTTTGCTGCTGCATTCAGGACCAAAAGATTGATTTGGTGTTAGTCAAAGTACACCTCTCATAATTATGAGATGCTAAGTCATGATGTTGAGATTATCGTGACTCAATATTTTTTAAAAATGTGTCGGAAATAGTCTTCCCCATACTTTAAAGTCCTTGAACTAAAAGGAGAGCACACTTTGTTTATCCTGTTAAGCCCCGCCTCTTGTATACTCGAGCTGTCATTCAAGCCTAAGTACCGCCCTCGACTGCTAACACGTCAATCAAACTTAGTCCCGCCCCTTTCCGCCTGCCTGCCCGTCGCGGAAAAAAAAAGGCAGCGGCGGTTGAGGAAGAGAGTAAATAGAGGGAGAAGCCTCAAGATGGCTGACTTGCAGGGCTCTGTTCACTTCCACGGAGCTGCTGCCGTTGGCTCCGTCAATAGTGCACTCGCTAATCCGACTGAGGCGAAGGGAGCCCCGAACAACCGCTCGCAATCTCGAGATTTCAGCCCGCCGCCATCAAAGAAGGTCCGAGTCGAGGAGAAGTCGAGCGTTAAACCCAGGAAACTCGGCAGGGACGGAGGTGTGGGGAGCAACGGTAGCGGGAAAGAGAAACTCCAGCAGACCACGAAGCAGCACAGTTACGGCAGCAACCCGGGCTTGTGGACCTTTAGCCAGGCTAAGACGAGCAGCAGCAGCCACCCTCCGGTGCCTGCTACTGGCGGATCCCAGACATCGGCAGGCGCACACAAAGTCTTCAAACAGAGCGATTTCTTCCTCCACAAGGCGCCTTCTTCCTCGAAACCCAAGAGTAAAGATAAACAAGGAGAGAAGGGGAAGGGAGGCGGGGAGGAGAAAAAGAAACATAAACTGTTGTTGACCTCCGCACCCGGGAGTAACGTTAATAATAACAACGATGTTCGTGGATTTAACAACATTTCTGCAGTGAAGAGGGAAAATGGGGAGGTCGTGTTACCAGCCCACGGTAAGCCTCCATGTTTTTCGTTTATTTTTATGCTTCTTTTTAACAAGTTTCGGCTGTGGTGAAAACAGATTCAGACACTTGAACGTGTCATAGCTACGTTCAAATGTTTCGTCTCGGAGTTGGTTAAAGAAGCCTTTATTATAAACGATACTTACTCGCTTGGGATGTGTTTACATTGTATTTAATATATATATATTCATTTATTTATTTTAAGACCGGTTTAACCGATGAGTGAGCAGACTGTGTTAGGCAGCTTTCGTAGCTTGCTCACCCGCTCGTGAACCCTCCACGAGCTCCAGAGAGGAGCAGCAGCGGTCGTCGCGCGACCTGGCAGTTGAATCGCCACCAGCTGCTCTCGTGCTGCGGCGGAACCGTTACGTAATTACGCGAAAATATAACCGATTTTATTTAAACACGTCGACCCGGTAAGCGCCGTACACGAATAAAACCCGTTGCTCAAACAAAAAATAAATAAATACAATTAAAAAAAAGTGGAGAACTGTGAGCGAATTATTAGAGACTTAGCGTTTTCTCGCGAACTAAACGCTCCTGTCATAACAATATGACAGCCGCCCGCCATTATGTGCCAAGTGTTGTTTTGGTGGAGCGCCACGCCCCCCTCTGTAACCCCAGGCTGTTTAGGCAACAAGCCTTGTTTATACAGTTGTACAATGCAGCAAATGATCTATTCATTCATTGCGTCACAATTTCACCTTAATGCCTCGGCATTAAATGTGTGAGATTAAAAAAAGTAATAATTAGAACAAAAGCCACACGTATTCATAGTTAACTACAGCGTGGCTTTACTCATTGGATGCCTTTGTAATAGATTTGTGATTTTTTTTTTTTTAACCATTGTCTATATTTTATTATTCTTCCAAAGCAGTGTATCAAAAATAACATAAGATGTTTTATTCTTTTTAGAAACTAGCAGGGGCTCAGGTGTGCATTCTGTGTGTGAGAGCATGATGTCACCCTTGTTTCCAGTTGGCCAGTTTAAGAGGTCACAAAACACTGCAGTCTAGTAAAACACCAGGACGTGATGTGTTTGTTCAGTGTCTACCTTTTTTTGTTGAAGGTAAAGGTGTAACAGGTTTATCGGGATTTCAGACAATGGATGTGCTAGTGCTGACTGCCACAAAGCAGCTTATAGGATGAAAAATATTAATAATTGGGTATATTTTAAACTTCTAAAATGCAATATGGAGGATTATTTATGTTTTAAATGCTCCTTTAGTGTTGTCAAGATTCAACATATTTATCTTCACCTTACAAGCACAATTTATATTCAGCTTTAATAAGAATAATAGAATACGAATAATATTATTGCTAACGCTGCAGCCACAGCTGGTTTTCCATGTAGGCACAGGATTTCTAGAGTTAATACAACTAATCAGTTTTATGTGTTTAATTACAGACAAACTTCAACAACATACAGTAAAACAAGTAATATTATGCTGAAAACTAATAAATCTCTACTCATCAAATGCAGCAAACTGGTTATCAGATCATATTCTGTGTTATTTCTTTCCGCTCTGGGAACTTGTTGTCATGGTTACTTGTCCTATCTGTAGTCATAACTTTTCAGCCTTTCTCTGACGCTTTTAACGAGTCGCCATTTATTTATTTGTGTGACCAGTGTAACACCCGTTATTTACATGCAGATGAAAGTTTTCTATGTCAGTCCAATAATACAAATCCGTATTTATAATGACTGTACGCTTTTAAAATGGATTCGGAGAGAAATTAAATTATTTTTGACAAGAACTTTGTGCTTGGCTTTAAAATTCAACATTAGAAAAAGCAGTAATTTTTTATTGGTGCTTTCCAGCTGTTAGTTCATTTAGTGTTAACCATTGATTTTTTTTGCAGGTTAAGTAAGTAGATGTAAAAGAATTATTGATGTGTCACTTTGACATATTTGTCTTTTTAATGAAGATAAAGTAACACTTTTATTTTAGTAACTCTTAACTCTTATTACTGTAATTCAATTCAGGTATTTACATTTGTTTTGACTCGTTTTTGCATGCATGGTTTACAGTTATGTTTATTAAGACTCCCAGCTGAGAGCAGACAGGAACGCTCTCTAAAGGTTGTCGGTGTCACTCACTGGCAGCCAAATAAACAGTTTAAAGCTAAAGTAGCACAGGTGGTGAATAAGGGAAGCAGGGTTTTATTACAACTCCCACATTAATAGTTAAATTTAAAGCCTGCAGAATTGTTTTGATTTTGAACCAGAAGCCAGAAACGAGGAGCTTGAAGTTTACAAACCGCTCGCCTCTGATCATCTGAATGATGGAAACCACCTGCTCTGTTGTACTTTTTAAAGCCGGCTGCTGCAACAAAGTCAGAAAACAAAACTAGAGCAAAAAGTTGGAACCACACGTTAATTTCTAAGCATTTCTAGCTCGATGTTTCTGCTTTTTTGTAGCATATTGTCAACTCGGTGTACAGTCCTAGTTCGTACCTTCTAGCTTAAACGTGTGAGAAAGTTCTGGCATGGTTTGTAATTAAAAAACTCACTGATTTTATTGCAGGCTGTTTCCTGTGGAGCAAAATCTTATGTTTTGAAAGTTTTCTTTAATTAGCCTCTTCTTTTGCAATAGTTTTTCATTAACTTCAACATATAGGAGACACAACGAACTGCATGTCGAGCTGTTGTTTAAATATTTAAATAAAAGCACAGATTTTGTATTAGGCTTTAATTCGTTTACTTATTCTTTAAGGTTTTCTACTTTTCAAAGTTTTTCTCCTACAGCTGCAGGAAAGCGGTTCTGACTGAGTTCAAAGAAGAAAGTGCTGTGAAAAGAGAGGATCAGCAAAATAGTTTTTTTAAAGGAAGATAAAAAGGCAACGAATAATCAAATGAAACATGAAATGTAAAATGGGAGATATTTTAGGAAAGGTGCAGGTTCAGAGTTCAGCTTTTAAACTTTTTTTTCCTCTGTTTTCTGTCATTTTAAATTGAGTGAACACGATTGCACTCAATTATTTGAATTTCTCACACTCTTTCATCTCGCAGATAATTACTGCAGGTCAGTCGTGAAAGAGCTGCAAGTTGAGGTGCAAGAGAAGCAGATGAAGTGGTTTGTTACACGTGTGATGGTTGGAGGTTAAAACTGAGCCCTACCTCTCTGCTTCCACAGAACACCCCACCAAGGATCAGGCAAAGGAGAGAGAGAAGAAAAGGGTCAAGGAACGAGAGAAAGAAAAGGAGAAGAAGCACAAAGTGATAAATGAGATCAAGAGGAAGAACGGAGAAGTCAAGCAGCCGATTAAAGGTTGGTGAAAACCGTTTTGGACGTCTAAATATGTGCAGGATAAAATAAATCCTGCCATATTAATCTTACATTATAACCAAAGTTTTTTTTTTTTAACATGCAAAATAAAATGTGGATAAATAGCTCATGAACTGTTCAATTTAATTTATTGTATTTGTAGGCTGAGTTTTTCTGTGCTTCAGACTTCGATAGAGCATTGAAGTTAAAAGCAGTTCTGCTCATTGTGACCAGAAACCTTGACATTTTTGTGGACATGCTCTGTATTGTAATTTGTATGGGTTGATGGGTATGGAGGACGGAAGGTGACAAAATTAAATTAAATTAATACACAACAATGAAATGTATCATTTCATTATTAAATACATCATTAAATAAACAAATACAATACACTATTAAATATACAATTTAATTATTAAATGCACAATTAAATTATTTATTTCATGATATAATTATTTATTTAATGATTTATTCAGTTATTTAATTTTGTCACATTCCACCCTCGTGTGTCACCATGAAATTATATTAACTGTCAGTCTCACTCATCAAACTCAGTGGGCGGGACTAACGCTGAACATGTGAAATCCATTGCTTCGGTCTGATGAAAAAAGGTTTCATCCAAATACACGTAAACACAATTACGGCTTCCTAAAGTGTTTTTTTTTATTTTTATTTTTTTGGAATATATTTTCTGGCCTATCGATGATCCGTGGTCGATTTGTCTTTGCTTGCCATGAGGAGCAGCCAATCAGTCGTCAGGGTTAGGGTTAGTCCCGCCCACTGAGTTTGACGAGTGATGATGACAGTTAACATAATCGCATGGTGTCACTGGAGGGCGGAAGGTGACAAAATTAAATAAATAAATCATGAAATAAATAATTTTAACGGGTACATTTAATTATTTAATGGCACATTAATAATTTAATTGCATATTTAATTATGTAATTATGTATGTAATAAATAAAATTATTTATGTATTCGTTTATTTCATTTTGTCACATTCTGTCCTCCATAGATGGGGCCTCAAAAGTAGCTCTAGTCCAGGGGCCCTCCTTATTCTTGGCCTTAACAACGCACAAAAACCGCTGGTAATGTTACCAAACATGACCCACTTCTAAACCCAAATACTGGATCACAAAAACTGTTTTACAGTAACTATGTAGCGTCAGGGAAACTAAGCATCATAGTAGCACGGCAGCTTCCTTAGTTAACATACGATCTTGACTCCTCACATCGGGTTGACCTTTCGTTGTGCCTCTCATCACATGATGTTGTGGTGCTTATGACTCATTTAGTCTGACCTTCTGACTTCCTGTGCGTTTGTGCATGCTAATTTGAAATGTGTGGTCGCTTTCAAAACAAAAGTTGAGAGAGAACCTGGTGCAGCATGGCTTTTATTTTTGTAATAGTTTTTCTGTGTCACCTTCCTCCCACTCTTTTAATCACTCTCAGTTTTACTATTTTCCCGTTTCTTAGTCTGACTTTTTAACTTGACGTTATTGTTTGAAGCCAGCAAAGGCATAGGTGGACAGTGTTTTAGTCTTTGTGTCTGTGCGCCATTTTGACCTCAGATGTTTGTAATCTTTCTTTTGTTTGCTTGTTTTCTTTATTTGTTCATAATCGTTGGCTTTATTTCCGTTGGTTTGATTTGTTTTTAAGCTATAGACTGGCAGTCTTCCACGCTAGAATGTCATGACCACACAGTGACATTTCAAGGACTTAGCAGTTCTTTAGTCGCATACCGTGACCAGCAGCTGAAAATTACGGGGAGAACAACACACACCCTCATGATGTTGATTCTTCTTCTCATTCCATGTGAATAGTTACGAGACTGGTTTTATGAGACGCTGAGGGTTAATCCTGCAGTTGTCCTGTGAGGGTCTCGGGTATTTAATCATGAGTATTTACGATTGAAGAGACGTGCCGAAGTCCTCAGTGAAAATTTGAGTCAGCGTAAAGAAAACTGGTGGGGATGTCCCCAACGGACAGCAAGTTTTTTTTTTTTAGTAATAACTCCTGCGGTGTTCAGTCAGAGAGAATTACATTTTACAAATGTGGGTGACGGAGAGAGTGAGAGGGAGAGTTTGAAGGATTTAATCAGAGGTATAGTGTTAGGTTTTACAATTGAAAAAGACGACGGAGTAAGAAACGGAGAGCAGCGCCCGGCGGAGACGAGTATTGGAAATCGATAAGCAGCAAACGGCCATTCTGACAGTAAATCTGCTTTACTACCTCCGGGTTTTGCGAGTTTGTGTTGATCTGACTGTGACCTTACATGTCCTTAAACTGATTATGATCAGTCAGCCAAGTGGTGCGTGCCAAATTTAGTTATTCATTAAACATGTCTGTTTATTATTATTTTTAAACGGCTACAAAGAAATGACCAGGTAGAGATTGACTGTCCAGGATGCTTCCACTGCATTTTATTATTGAAGACTTTAGTTCAAAGGGAAGTTGCATCATCACGTTTAGTTAACCGCTCATTGGTTTCGAATTAAAATGTAATTACCTTATCCTAAATGTTCCCGTTTATGTCACTGTAGTGTAATAAAAATTATACTTTTACAATGAAAATACTATCCTGCATTAACTCAAATGTAAGAAGTTCAAAGCGTAAATAAAAGTTAATTAAAAGTTGTTCGTGTAATTTCTTCTTAAAATCAGCTGCTTATCCTCCAATACCCAGAAGTCCTCAGTGCGTTTAAAAAAAGTGCAGCCTACAGTTAAAAGATGAGAAACAACAGCTGGAAGCACCGACACCGCCAGGTTACAATCACCTACATAAAATTAAAATCAAAAAGAGTGTTCAAAAGTAATGTTTTTTTAAATGTTTGTTTCCTAGCAATTTAACGTTAAAGAGTCCCATCCCCATTAAAACCGAGTAGATTGTCAACATGAGTGCCCAAACCAGTGGCAGTAAACTCAGGGGTGGTTGAACCGAGCGGAGATGCAATGAAGGGATGATGGTCTGCAGATACCAGCCAGGTGTAAACTGGATCTAGAGAACTCCAGTGAGTTTGACAATGTTTTTAACCTCCAAAAACCAATATTCATTCATCAGAGCCCTGGTAATCATCAATTACCAGCAGAAAGTCTCCATTTAGAAAAAAAAAGCATAGAAACAAACAAATTGAGCACAAAAGGTAAAGCCACACGCAATGGCGCCATCTTGGAAAGTCGTTGAAGGCAACATGTGGATAAAATCATGGCTTCCCTCTAGGGATACACACTATCTTCATATTGTCTTTATACAATGAATTTACACAGTAAAGTGGAGTCTGTTTGTATTTGCATCAGTACCAGAAAGAAGTAATGTCAGCATCAAAATAATAAATATTAAATATTAGTAATGCTTGTTTAAGCTAACTGCAGCTAAAACAGGAGACTCGTACTCCTCACTAGTTTTAAAACTGAGACAAAAAATACTTTAAAGTTTAGCAACAACAAACCGTTTTAACAAATAGCATAGATGTTGGGTACTATAGAATATTTTTTTTTTTTATTCAATTAAAATTTTCTTTTGAGACATTAAATAGCACATTTGGTATCAGTTACCTGATTTTTGTATGTGAGCAAAATGATTGTGCACCATTTACTTTGTCAATATTGTGTTATGTTGATGAGGGTTGAGATTTGTGGATAGAACGTTTTGTGTTCAGAGTGAATTGTGTGTTAAAGAGCTTTTGGATTAGTCTCTTCAGTATAGTGTGTCAAATACCTCCTGTCTCTGTTGCTCTGTTTAATAATCTGTCTCCCTCTTGCTTTTCATTCTTTCCTTATCTGGCACTGAACATGTGTGGAGTACCAGCTAGGCCCAAACTGTATCTGTTTGTGTAAACAAAACTGTAGTTGGATGTTGTATTCCGACAGAGTAGCACCTCCATCACATGTACGCACATAGATATGCAGTAAATCCATTAATGTCAACTTGTACATGAAAAATCAGAGGAAAGATGAATCAGACTGCTGGCTGTTTGCTAATTGTTTAGCTTTAACACACACTGTGACAAATCGACAAGCACTTAGCATAAATTTCCATGTTCCGATTTGTCTTGCCTGTAACATTTCAAAGATGGACTGTCATGTATGGTTTTATCTCCTCAGATACCAACAAGCTCATTTCCTGACTCAGTCATAGATGCTTTTACTCCAGGGATTTTATTTCAGGGCTTTTATATTTATTTTTTGTAAACATGATGGTAGATTCACATCTTCTGGGAAAAGTTATGAGTCATCTGTCTGCACTCGAAGTAGTTTGTTCTAATTATTTTTACTGTTCATTTGCAAAGGGACTTATTTTTTTGTAGGTGTCTTGGTTGTTAAGCGTCTGAAAATAAACATTGTGAATGTCTGATTTGTTTGTTGATCTCCTCTTCTGAAGCGTTTTATCCATTTCTCTGTCCAGAGGAAAAAGATGAAGCAAAGATCAACTCCGAGGAGCTGCAAATTAAAAAGGTGAAGAAGAAAAAGAAGAAGAAACACAAAGACGGAGAGAAGCACAAGCGAGTGAAGATGTACCACCGCTCTTGCCAAACCGTCTGTGGCGGCCTGCTTTCGTCCACCAACTCGTCCTCCTTCTCTGAACTGACGAACAACTCCTCTCCGTCAGTTTTTAAGTCTCCTCCGCTTTTTCACCCTCCACCCAACAACAAAGACTCTCATCTCAGGCCCTCCTCGCCTGCTTCTGCCTCTAAATCTATTTGTAACTCATCAACTTTACACAACTCCGTCAGCTCTCCGTCAGCCAAGACCCCCTTCCCAACAAAACCCAACTCGCAGCGCACCTATCCTGGGATGGTGGGGCTGGAGTTTGCTCCGTACATTCATATAGAGACCCAGCCTAACGGGGGAGCTCTGGTGGCCCATGCCTATGCCTCCCAGCTTTCTTCTCTGTCTGCGGATCAAAGGCAGAGATTTGCCCAAGAGTTTGTCACTTTGGCATTCAGCGAGGATGCATCAAAGGTACAACCCAACTGTGATCTGATGATTGTGTTTCCATTCATTTATGTTTAATTCACTTATTGTCCAAGCTGTTGTTTGGCTCCATTTAATGCAACTAGAAAAAATGTGTTTTTGCTGAGTGCTGAACTCTTGCTAAAAGAAACGGAATACAGGCAAAAAGCTAAAGAGAACAAAATACTAGCTAAAAGTAGCTAAAGGCTAGCTGAAAACTAAAAGTAGTAAAACTATCTCGAAGCCAAACATGGTAAAAGATTAACACAAAGTTTAGTAGAAGCTAAAAGCATCAAAACACTAAAAAGCAACAAAAAGTTGGCTACAAACTTAAAGTAGCTAAAAATACAAGTGTACTGAAGCACATTTCTAAGTGAACGATGTTTTTAAAAGAACTAAAAATTCGTTGTTTCTGTGAGGAAAATATTTTAAAATAAATGTGAGTATAAAAGTTGCCAAACTCATCGTAATCATAGCACCCATTTCCTGAATGAGCTGAATGTTTTGATCTTTGAATAGCTAATGTTGCACAAAGTGTGCAGAAATAAGTTTGCAGATGTCCATTCCAGAAAACGTAAAGAAAAATAAATAAAAAAAAAACAGGGAAACTGTGTGAATCGTCCACCAACACTCGCATAATTATCAAGTTGAACAAGGCAGTGGTTCACACTTTCATTTTAACTTATCAAAATAACTTTTATTGATGTGAAGCTGAAAGTCTAAATATGATATAACTCTTCTAAACTTTTTTTTTTAATTTATTTTGCAGGCAGCTCATTACGTCATGACGATTGTTCACGGAGAAGCAAAGTACCTACCGGACTTCTTGGATTACTTCTCCATCAAGTTCCCGTCGGCTCCTGTCAAAATGGAAATTCTAGGAAAGAAAGACATAGAAACCACCACTATGGTTAATTTCTACTCTCAGGTAAGTCCGACACAATCGCAGAGGAAAGGGGATATTGTAAAATGTCTGATCTGATTTCTATTAGAGGTTAAAATCCTTTTAGCATTAGTTTGCCTTTTTGCCTTAAAAGTCACCAAGATGCTGATCAGGACATAATTATTGATGTTGTGATGTAACGGGTGATATTTAAGGATGCGATCGTAACAGAATCTGTGATGCATAAAGCACCGCCTCTGCATTTCTTCTTTTCAAACGTTCTCATGCACGCAGGCGTGCAGACACAGGAAGGAATGGAGGTTTGCAAATTAAAGCTCGTCCATTTCTGTACAAAGATAGAGTGATACACACACACACACACACACACAGTGTTTGTACAGGAAATGTGTCAAGTTGTGTGCGTTGAAGTGGTTCAAAGGAAAATTGTTATAATTAGTGAATGTTGTTGGCTAGTCTGCTATGTTTGTGTTGTCCTCAAATTGTTTCTATAAATATATTTAGCTGGTATTGCGTTGCTTGTTGCTGTCTAAAAAATGAAGGAAAGGAATCTACTGATACGAGGCATGCAAGGATACTAAAAATACTGTGCTAAAATGTAATTTCTGTTTGGTTAAGTACATAAACTGGGAGGATAAAGACCAAGAAAAGAATAGATTGTTTAAGTAAAACTACCTGCTGTGTGCTTGATGAAGTTGTATCGTTGTAGTTTTAACCATCTGGTTGAAGCATCTGCCTCCCATCTGTTCAGCATTAATACCGAAGTCTGATTATTTTTTTTTTAGATTGAATCAAAACATTAATAACATCTGGGCTTTAAAACAAGATGAAGAAAAAAATGACTGGCGAACGAGAGCTAACCGGTTGTGAGGGATGAAAGCTGTCAGGCAGGTAGCAGGTTCACAGCAAGTCAGGCTCGGAGTCAAAAGCGCATGAAAAGGTGTTTTTCATCTTTTGATTTTTAAAGCTGCGAGTGCTAGAGCAGCTGTAGCGTAAATCCTCTCAACTGACGCATAAGTACACCACACAACCTTTAGAGGACAGCAGGAAAAATAAGAAATGAGCGGGTTTTTTTAATTTTGTTGGTGGCTGATCTGGATTTTGCCACCAGAGGCCAGTGACACAGCTAGACCTGTTCATCGAGAGTTGTTCCGTCTCTTTCGATTATTAATGAAAAGCCTTTTGTTGCCTCAAACCTCCTGAGTGGCTTTGTATTAAGATCCTGCCTGTTCTTTACCTGTGTCAGCGTGTTCGTACGACAGGAGGTAGATCAGTTTTTCTATCTCTGTCCCTCTGGCTGATTTGTATTAAAAATCTTAATGTGGATTTGTATTTTCTTTCTGTTGTTTGATCTCTGCACATTTTTGCAAAGATCAGTTGAATATCTAAATCGTCCATTGTCTACATTTGATCTAATCACCTGCAGAGCCTGTGTCTTGTCGCAGCCCCTTTTCAGAGTAATGTTCCCTGCAGGGCTAACGTCATTGTCCACTGGCCTTGTTAATTTTTTTTTCTCCCTTGCAGCTCTCAGCAATGACCTTGGGAAGTAGATATACAGTCTGCACATACACACAGATGTGAGCATGCATACTGATAACGTGTGCACACACAGGCGCACAGATTAATGGCGTATCATCCCCATTTTTCTCCAGCCTTCTCTCTCTCTGCGTTAGCCTTTCAGCGTCTCGTTTATCCCTCTGTTCTGTGGTTCTGCTCTGTTGTGCAGTAGCTCTGTGCTCCAGCCATGAATGGCTGCACTGCTGCTTTTTGTATGGCGTGAGTGTAGAAAAGAAAGAGAGAGTAGGGAGGAGAAAAAAGTGCAGCTGCATGCAGCTTCTCTCCTTCTCGAGCACCAGGCGTTCACAGTACAATTGTAGTGTTCAAAATGTGAGTTCAGGCAGCGACGTTGCCTTGTTTTTGTGAATGTATTACCTGACTGAAGCCATCCTCAGTGCTGGGGAGGATTATAGAAGATTACAGCACTCCATTTTCTCAGGGTAGACCGAGCCCAGCAGTCAATACGAGATGGGCTTGTTCTGTGAGGTCATTCAGTCTCTGGGAGTAGAGGTGTTGTTACATTAAGCGATAAACCGTGCAGCTTTTTGACAGTTGTATTAGTTTCACCTCAAACTGCGCTCATCTGCACACTGTCATACCCAAACAAAATTAATGTTTACCAAGTTGACATTATTATGATGTCAGTTATCTGACATCTCCTCTTCTTGTGACATGAAATTTGTGATCAAAACGACAAACCCCAGATATGTTTTTGACCCTTTTCATTTTTAATATCTAGTTCTATGTAATCGAGAAATTTGTTGATAATTTACAGTTCAAATAATTTATCTTTAATTCCGTTTTTATTTTTTACGTGCTTTTATTATTGACCAGTGTTTGAAAGTGCAGTAATATAGTGAAAATAGTGTAACTTGATGTAAAAATATATACATATCTATATATATATATATATATATATATATATATATATATATATATATA